AATTAACTTAAATGATTTTAGCAAATGGCTGCAATATAACAAAGAGTGAAAAACTTAAGGGGGTCTGAATACTTTCCGTACCCACTGTATATAAAATGATTTACACAATTTTTTAACATTTACATAACAATTGGCCAGCTACACATACATACATATAGTATATGGCTGATGTTAAAACACTCAACACTATAAATTAAAAAAAATAACAAATTTAAACTAAAATCAATGCTACAATTAAATTTAAGCTTCGCAGCATTATGATGTACAACATGAGGAATGGATATTCATTTTGGGATTAGTTAACAAATTACATTACTGTACATACGTTATTACATTAGTGTTTTTTTAAAGATTAACTTCAGGTGAGTGTAAGATGGCATTCATTCATTCATTCATTCATTCATATCAGATTCTGTGACGGCCATAGCGGAGAGAGGTGGTATGCGCTGCATAGCACTGTACAGCACCAGGACTAAATCCCCACTCAAGCGCACGGCACTGATGTCACCACCTGCCACCGGATAAGAATGGAATTCAAAAAGAGAGTTCATTTAAATGACTTTACTGTACATGCAAATTTAGGTGTAGATGCATTTGCCATAATTGTGACATAAATGTTAGCCTTTAAATGAAGATTTTCGCCAAGCTATGACTGAAATAGGTACAGAGAGACACTGACAGAATGTTTGTTTTAATGTGCTTGACCATCATGAGATCGCTGTATGTGCCATGACAATTTATTGGTGCTGTGTGTACATTAATGAGGAAAAAAAAATTAACTTAAATGATTTTAACAAATGGCTGCAATATAACAAAGAGTGAAAAACTTAAGGGGGTCTGAATACTTTCCGTACCCACTGTATATAAAATGATTTACACAATTTTTTAACATTTACATAACAATTGGCCAGCTACACATACATACATATAGTATATGGCTGATGTTAAAACACTCAACACTATAAATTAAAAAAAATAACAAATTTAAACTAAAATCAATGCTACAATTAAATTTAAGCTTCGCAGCATTATGATGTACAACATGAGGAATGGATATTCATTTTGGGATTAGTTAACAAATTACATTACTGTACATACGTTATTACATTAGTGTTTTTTTAAAGATTAACTTCAGGTGAGTGTAAGATGGCATTCATTCATTCATTCATTCATTCATATCAGATTCTGTGACGGCCATAGCGGAGAGAGGCGGTACGCGCTGCATAGCACTGTACAGCACCAGGACTAAATCCCCAATCAAGCGCACGGCACTGATGTCACCACCTGCCACCGGATAAGAATGGAATTCAAAAAGAGAGTTCATTTAAATGACTGTACTGTACATGCAAATTTAGGTGTAGATGCATTTGCCATAATTGTGACAAATGTTAGCCTTTAAATGAAGATTTTCGCCAAGCTATGACTGAAATAGGTACAGAGAGACACTGACAGAATGTTTGTTTTAATGTGCTTGACCATCATGAGATCGCTGTATGTGCCATGACAATTTATTTAGATAATTTACCTCCAAGAATCTATTAAGCTAAAAAGGCCCAGAGTCATTTCTGCAGTGATGAACAGAAGACCTTGAGAAGTTGCATATCAGACACAGACACACTGTTAACGAGCTTTTACAAAAGGCAAAGACATCTTCCCAAAATATACCAAAATAAAAGAAACCCATCTAAAAAATAGAAAAACTGTAGTGAAGAGGCCTGAGAAACTTGTGGACCTTGAAGAAGTGGATTATTTTAAAAGCAGTACTTTAAAAAATGTAGAACACAACAGTAAATAAATGATTTAAAGACAATTTAGTTCTGGGTATAATAAAAGCACCTCTCAAGCAAAGTCAACATGACAAGAGCATTTGAGGACAATTCAGGAGACGTTACAGCCCAAAAAGTATTTGGACACTTAAGCCACATTTAAAACTTAAAAATGCATGACTGTCATTGTGCTAGATAGCAAAAAAGAACTCAAGTGGCATTTATTTTAAAGGGGAAAAGTATGCACACATTTACGAAGCAAAACATTTCACAAAAATAGTACTCACACATGGCCAAGCTCATGAGCAATGGTGAAAGCAGTACTGAGTCCATTATCCTCATTAATACTGCAACTTCTGTAGGGATCACAAACTGTACCCAGTTCAGCAAGACCTGAGCATGAGAGAACAAAGTGGTTATAGTCAAAATTAAAGGAATAATATTATTCGTAGCTGTTGTTGTAATTCTCATCACTGCCATCAACATCATTCTCATTGTCGACATAAGTGTAATCATAATCACCATTTTCACACAAAGATGATTTACCTAAAGTGTCACACTTGCCTCGTGCTCGACAGATGTCCTGCCTAAAAACAAAAAAAAGGATAAGGCAACACAAATTTGGATACCCTTCTATCTTGCATTTGTGTCTTTGCTGTCCATTGGTTTCTTCTTTCTGCACTCATAGCCTTGAAAAGTACGACCCAAGTAGTTGTAGCACCATAAATAATCACTTTGTTACTCAAATCATTTTCATTTAACAGATTTTTGTCATTTTCAACGTTCACACCAAGTATAACGTTTCTGTGTTGCCACATGAATGGCACTGAAATCACACTGTGGAGAGAAGACACAAAACATCACACAACTAGACTTATTGTATGTTATGTATTCTACAACAACTGTGAGCAATAAGTCTAGGTAAAGAAATATCCAAAATCGAAAGCATCCCATAAAAATTGCTTTCACCTTGTGATTAGAATGGCGGTGTCATGATGTGAGTGATGGTTGTCATCCGGATGGTTCTGACCCTGCTGCCATATGCAGAAGTTTTTCAAAGTGGCTTGTGCATTGAAAGAAATAGTGGGACCATCCTATAGAAGAACAGAGACAGATGAGAACATTCGAATACATTTAGCCATATGGGAATAATTAAGGCTTGACTGTAATAAACTGCTTAAGTACATTTTAAAAGAGCTCTTAATGCAACCATTAATTGCCACACTTCCTCAAACAGAACTTTTACCAGCTCATTCTTTATGATGACCAGCTTCACAATAACAATGTTAATCAGGTTTCCAATGCTGGGATCCTTATAGATGGAGGAAACCTAAGTGAGAGAACACAGACAATTGGAATTCACTGTCAAAGCTTCTAATTACTTTACAACAGGGGTATCAATCTACCAGCCTGAGAGAGTTTCAACAGTTATTATATTATATACTACTGTTCAAAACTGTTTGAGGTCAGTAAGATTGTAAGAAATTATACTTTTATTATGCAAGGATGATGCATTAAATTGATCAAAAGTGACAGTAAAGATATTTACATTGTTACAAAAATATGAAGCAGCACAACTGTTTTCACCATTGAAATAAGCCAATCAACATAGGAAACACCTGGGAACAATGAATTCAAAACACGAGACAGAGAAACTGGAAGACGGAGCACATAGGGAGCAAAGAAACACACAAGACCTGGCCCAGAGTCTGACAATATTAGAATGATTTCTGAAGGATCACGTGACACTGAGGACTGGAGTAATGATGCTGAAAAATCCATCACAGTGAATTGCCATCACAGAAATAAGTTAAATTTTTTAAATATATATTTTAAATTGAAATATTTCACATTATTACTCTTTTTACTGTATTTTGATCAAATATGCAGCCTTGTTGAGCATCAGAGACTTCTTTCAAAAACATTTTTAAAAATCTTACTGACCACAATCTTTTGAACGGTAGTGTATATAACCATTGGAGAACATCACCTAACTTGTAGGATCCTGTAATATCAGTTTGAGACCCTTGCTTTATAAGAAGAGATTTTGTGTCTTCATTTGCATTCATCTTGATGTAACTGAAGACACCATTGAAAACATATTTCTCACTCAAAATGTAAAAGTACTTAGTAGGGTGTTTTTTACATTTGCTAACTTGATTTTTTTTATTTCTGAATTTCAGTACACACAGACCTCGTTTAACACGTGACATTAACCTCAGCTGTTGAAAAAAAAAGTTTATTGGCCATTGAGAACTAACTTGTGCTGCCAGATCCTGCTGAGAATGCAGTCTTTGCCAAGATCAAAATATAGGTCATCTAACCTCCCTGTGAGTTCCAACGAAAAAGCATCTAAAGCATGCAGTCCATGCAACATACCTGATTTTATTTGTTTTATATTCACATTCATCAAGTCTGTCAGACACATTCACCTCATGCTAATGATCTGTCCCATAAGAGCATAGTAAGAGCAAGTATCTCTCCCCCCACCAGACCTAAAGCAACAGACACAAACCCATCAAACCAGGAGACTATCGTTAACTGGGCAGAACTTACGATGGACATCAGTGTAAGAATGTAGTGCTGGAGGTTGCTTCCATGATGTTCTACCATCTTACTGTCTGCCACAACCATGACTTCAACAAAACGGGGGTAGGAGAGGAAACGCTTTGATCTCCGGTGCGGCTTGGAGTCACTGCTTTCATTAGTGGAGTTGTGCTTGTTTTCTGAGGGGAAGGGGGCAGAGAAGAGTTTGGAATTAAGAGTCTCCAGGTTGGACAACCAGCTTGAGGGCGACTTTCTCTTCAGTCTGTTCCTGTGTCTGCGGTGTGGCTCTTTATGTCCTGCATTGAAGGATTAAAACAATACATGTTAAGAAATATAAAGAAGTGATTATGCATCCAAGGAGGGTTCATCATGATCTATATTAGATGATAATATGGATTGTAGACAGGTGAGCCTCCAGAAAAGTGAATATATGCCACCCTTTAGTGTCAGTAACTGAAGAATCTTTCTTGAGCACCAATCAGCATATTAGAATGATTTCTGAAGAATCATGTAACACTGTAGACTAGAGTAATGGCTGATGAAAATTCAGCTTTGCCATCACAGAAATAAATTAAATTTTAAAGTATATTAAAACAGAAAACAATCATTTTAAATTGCAATAATATTTCACAATATCACTGTTTTACCGCAATGTTTACAAACATTATACCTAAACTTTTGAATGCTAATGTACGGTATGGAATGGAAGTCTTATTGTAAGCCTGGCAACCTGCTAAAATAGTAAAAGTTGCATAATGACTCCTCATCTATGGACAGTCAAATCTTAGGTCACAATAGATGTTTATAGAGCTTCATTATGATTTCTACTTAAATGCAATAACTGGATAGTTTTAATTTCCCTAAGCTTAAAATAGCACAAAAATGCAACATAACCCAGTCCATATATACTCAATGTCACACAATGGGTAATTGATTTAACACAAAAAAACACTTTGCAAAAAAAGTGTGCTGGGAATAAAAATGAATCCTATTCCACTAGACAAAAAGAAAGCCAAAAAAGAGCTTTCAATAAAACTCTTGCCATCTAAAAGAAGTTCATCTCCCAGCAATTTTGGGGGCCAAACGTTTCCTTAACATAACACAATACCAAAGGGGTTATTCAAAAAACAAAGCTGCTGTTGAGTGCTATTTATACATGGCAGCATGCACTACTTTTGTAACAATGAATTTACAAACACCTAAAACTGGCATTACTTTACTACAATGCATCTTACCATGTGGCTTTCATGGTATTGGGCCTCTTGAGTTTCCTTATCTTCAGGCCACAGGAAGTGCAAGAGTCAACAGGATTTTGTGTCAGTAAACTAAGATTGGAATGATACCAAGAACTTCCAAAATGATTTTTCCTGTTCCACTGACTCTACTCAATGACATTTGAAAATAGAAAACCGAAGGATGTAAATGATACCATGAATAGCACTATGAGTATTTGAACGTCAATGATAGCATGTTCGTTTCCGTGCCTAGAGGTGCTGTGCTGTACATATTCATAATCATATTTAGATTTACAGAATTACAACTGGTCGAGTTAGATATGCATTAACATATACCATTTGCATAACTATACAGAAACAATATGGTAATTTAACGCTTCTAATCTTGAATAGATTGAGTACAATTCACTGGGAGGCAGTCTAACGATGAAGTTCCGTTATTGTGAATATTACAGTCATTGATTTACTTTAATGTTTAAAATCAAATGTTTTATCTAATCTTAATCTTTCCCATTCCAAAAAAGTAAGAGTTAGGTGTCTTCCTGCTTACCTGAAGTTTCACATGTAGTTGCATCATCTACAGCCTTTTTTGAGGTATCTTTTCTGAATTTAACGCTTCTAATCTTGAATAGATTGAGTACAATTCACTGGGAGGCAGTCTAACGATGAAGTTCCGTTATTGTGAATATTACAGTCATTGATTTACTTTAATGTTTAAAATCAAATGTTTTATCTAATCTTAATCTTTCCCATTCCAAAAAAGTAAGAGTTAGGTGTCTTCCTGTTTACCTGAAGTTTCACATGTAGTTGCATCATCTACAGCCTTTTTTGAGGCATCTTTTCTGTACACGACATGAGGTTTGATGTGTTCTTCTTCATAATGTTGACCATTGTAGCTATGAAGGGGCTCTACAAAAAACTCCCCTTCTTGTGACCTGAAAGTGCCAAGCTAAAACAAATAACAACAATGTTTAAATTGGTCCATGGCCAGTGAAATAGACACATTCTGTGTGTGACTGTAAATTGCCCTCACAACTTCCCCCTAAGATTTTACTTACGTAGAAATCTTAAGTGGCTGATGGAGTGATAATGTAAACATATATTGCATGCATATAAGTGCACTGGTCTCTGGGGGGGGTAATGAATGCAGAATGTTACTGAATACTGATAACTATCAGAACATTCAGCTACACTTATGATGCATAAAGATTTGAAATGTGAATTTCCTAAAAGCCAGCGAGAAGCACATTGGTAAATCCTCTTCTTATCTTCAAGAAGAAACATATTGAACAGGTTTGAGGCTGGTTATTATATTACAGAAAACAGATTTTAGACAAATTGTTTGCATAAACCTGAGTATGAAGGAATACAAACTGGCCATCACAAACTAGCCTGACTAATTTACTCAAATTTGCCTGAGATTCTGAATAAGAATGCATGTGCAATAAATTTAATGTTAAAATACCAAATAACCATATAATACCCAGGCTACAGGCCCTCTATGCTAATTGGGGTGGCACAGTGTTATCTAGGCAGGAAATCCAAACTTCATAGGTTCAAACCCTGAAAGAAGCAATAAATGAATAATGTTATGTCAGAATTTTACCAGTTTCTTCAATATGTAGGTTTAAATGGAATAAAGGGTAAACATTACATTTTCTCTTTCAGGTTTTGTTAAATGACCTGAATATTTTAAACCAATATTATCAGTTGTTATGGTGCCTGAGGACAATCAAGAGCGAACTTGACTGCAAACATCAAATTTATTGAAAAGACAGGTAACTAGGGACACACATCCTTCCATATGTCAATATATTTAATGAAAGCCTACCGCTCTCATGATAGCACGTTTTAAAATAATGGACTTCTAATGCCTTCTGACAATATTTTATGAAATCTAGCCAGAAACTCATATGAAGATGAAGGACATTAAGGGGACATGCAGGCCTAACTAATAAGTTTATGTGAGTTTGTGTCCTCCATTGACATTCAATCGACACATAAATTGCAAGCATCTCATTACATTATTGCAGATGTTTTACCAGTAACAGATTGCTTTTGGAGGGCTCCGGATAGTGTGAAATCGATTTTTCCCTGTCTGCAACCTATGAAAAGCAATCAGTCAAATCACAAATGTTGCTGGAACTGAGACAATCTCCAGGTTGTGTACAAGTTCTGTTTTAATTAAGCAAGCTAAAGCACTTTCAGATGAAAGATATAAATTAATTTGTGTAGTGTTTAATGGAAGTGTAAGTTATAGTTTCTTAATTAACTGAATCATGACTGCCTGCATGCAACAAACTGAATTGGGAAACAAGAAATTACTGTAAAAAAAACGCTTTTTAATGTTTTAGACTTGGCATTACCTGGATTTCAAGGACCAAGTGACAACAAAAAAAGGCGTTAAATACGGGTTTGAACCATAGACTGTTAAAGGTTTGAACAGGCTCTTTGGAACAAACTATTCGAAAAAACGATTCACTAGTTCCCATGACTACTTCTGATCTGTGAGAAACGGCGTTCCATGGCGCGAACTCGCGTTCACGTCAAGATGACATCTGAGTCCCATATATGGACTGACATTGACGTCAGCACACACTGCTGCTTATACTACTCATGAGTTGTGCGTCACCCGGTTCTTTTAGGCTACAGAGCGTAATCTTGCATGATCACTGACTTCATATGTTGAGAATATACTTTCTAAGTGATCTGCCTCACAATTGGTGCGCATGTATCCGACTACTAACTCGCGCTAAACTTCTTTTTATGTGTGAGTAATTATGTAATCACATACGAAAGGTCTGAAGTGCATATGAACATTTGTAAAGTTTTCGAATGCTTACTGCTACCTGTATCGCATACATTATGATTAAGATAAGTATTGTTAACAATAAACATGTATTAAACTCACCAAACCGGAGCAGAGGCTGATTACTGCAGTATGCTCCTGCCCAGCGTTCACATGTCCTTTATAAAAGCAGTGCTGATACTCCGTGTCCTCCTCCTCCCCCTCTTCTGAATTATTACCTTCACTGGATGCTCCGAGTATCGTGACAGTGTAAACTGGCGCAATAAATCCCGACTCGAGCGTAAGATTAAGGTAATAGTCCTGGCCAAAGGCAGATATTTGATAATAGACTTGCGGTGAGGTCCAATGATGGGAGATGTTGCCGGTAACTGGGTCGGTACTCCGCTTTCTCCTCTTGAAGTGCACGCCCGTTGGCAGTGTGTCACCGGCTTCATTCACTCTGGCCGGAGTTACAATCTCATACGCGCCAAACTGCGGCAGTTTCACTGTGGACGAAAACAGAGATTGAATAGTAAAATTCAGAAACAATACTATTCTATAAATATCGTTTGGAGTGTAATATGATTTTTACATTTGTACAAATGTACATTTTAAAGTACATTTTTGTAACTTTTTTCAGACAAATTGTGTAAATGATCGAATACTGCACTGCGCGTCTATGTAACAAACAGGTAACAGGGTTGACCGTTTTAAATTGTAATTTGACATTACAATATAGCGAAACTACACTTCATAGAAAGACAACAATGTCGATAATTCTTCAAATACCTGCTTTTTTAGTTATCAATGATCATGGTAACAGGGTTGACACTGTAAAATCGCTCCCTACTTAAAAACATAAAACATGATGAAAAAGATAAGACTTAAATCTGTCCTTGAAGAGTTCACCTTTTGAAGAAAAAAAATCATTACTCAAAATAGAGAAATATAATGGTAACAGGGTTGAATAACGTAGGAACACAACTTTAAGTTTTCTTTAACAATTCATAATGTCAGCCTACACTACATACAAAAAAAATGAAAATCTCCATCAAATACTTGCTAACAGTGTTTTTTCTAAGACTCCACGAAATAAATCAGGTGTCAAGTCAGTTAGCCTACTCGAAGACTCTTCATACAGCGCGCTATGAGCTCTGAAGCAAGCAAGGAAAAGTCATTCATTCTCCGCTCCTCAAGGAGAGTTGAATGAGAGTAAAAGATCACGAAAAGAGCCCGTACCTTTCTCTGATCCTCGCGGTATCCCTGCTGAAGCTAATGCATTCATAAAATCAGAGAGCAATACTAAAAGTCTTAATCCCCAGAAGAACAAAAACATGATTGTCCACGTTAAAAAAATGAATGCAAGCAAGCCCGAATTCACTATTCCGCTGTCCCTTGAAGCCGCGCTCAGCCGGGATTTCTGCCGCACGGTTGCCACATCCAAAGCGTTTCTTCTCTACTTAATAGAAGTGACTTCCATGTCGCTAACAAGCGCTCGGTCAGAGCTCTTGGTTTGCATGCATAATACCAGAAAGGGGGTCGATGCAACTGTGGTGGTCTCCAGTTTGCTGATTACTTAGCCGAGACTTGGGCGTACTCTTAAGAGACACCCCTCTCTCAGAAAGCCACTCCTGCCATATGTGTCGCTAATGTAGCGTGCAGACTAAACTTCATTTTAAAATCACTGAACATATTACTCATAATGATCAATCACACGTGCATTATGTTCTTGTTCCTACTTCAGATTGTGCAGTTAAACTGTACATTCAGTTATTTCCTTTGCCTCTCTCTCATAAGAGTTCTTAGTCAAATTGATGTTTACATTAATACAAACAGCTTTGAGTCAATACATAAGTAAAGAGTAAGGAGCATAGTCTTGAATAGAATATGACATGATATGCTATTACATATAAAGTCTCTAGGAAACTAATGTTCTCTAGGAAACCCCTTGTATATTTATTTCCCTCTTCTTAGTCTATTTGTAAGCATTTGTGTCTGTCCCAACACCTGTCTCAGCAATGTGCACTTATATGACTGATAAATGTTTTTCAGTGGCCAATGGTGATAGCAGTTATTAGGCAGCAGGGGTGGCGGAATACCAATATATCATGCTGATATGTGATGTTGGCTATTATAAATGAAAGCAATTAAGACATATCCCTATATGCTAATAATAATCATTTTACACAGGATTCATTCAAATATATTTTAACAACAAATGTTACTTTGCACTCTAGTAATTATGAAAGAATTGTAAGAATACTTTGATTTGCTGATTTTTAAATCACTGCAAATGCAGTATAAATATCTTGGGTAAATACACATTGCTCCTTAAAGCCACAAAATCTTTTAGAAGTATTCTTTATTTACAGTTACAGTATCTTCTCTGAAGTGACTATAAACCTGCCGCTTTATGGGATTCATTGGGTTATAGATTTGGACAGAAGGCTACAAACAGTTTTCCATTAGGTTTAGATGAAAAGAGTTGGAGATTAGATCTACACTTTAAGATTAATTCCTGGAGTGAATATGGATTTATGCACCAGCTGTAAGGCTCCTGAATAAAAAAGTATGAATGAGGGAGAGAGAGGCTGACTGTAGCGTTTTGGACTTGCAATCGTGTAATAATGGTGACTTCAAATCAGTGTAAACTTCCCTTCCTCTTGGCTCTGATGAGATGATAAGAACTAGAAAGCTTGAATGGATGCTGAAAGTTGGCTTGAGTGTTCAAAGAAGGGTCAAGATAAGTCACTGAATGTCCCTACACCACTATGCTGAACTTTACCTCACAATCAACTGGCAATCAGACATAATGTCTAGATTCCCTGGTTCTGGATTACTTTATTTCTTCTTCTTTCGAGTTTGATTTATATATATATATATCGCCAGGCTTAAAATGAATTTGATTAGGTTCACTGAGGCAGAGTCTTGTGCATTCTCATGAGGAATAGAGAGAAGTACTTGCAGTTATGATCCAATAAAATACAGGTTTCTAATAGATTGCACACATACTGTATACACAGTTGGATTTCTAGTATGCTGGATAAATTCAGCAAAAAGTAATTTAGAAATGTATGGAACCTATTTCTGCCTCAGAGTAAAAAAAAAAAAGAATTGTGACAAAGTAATTGAAAATGTGGTAATCACGGGAAACAAAGTCACATTGTGAGATATAAAAGTCCCATTTGTGGAATATAAATTTGCAATTGTGAGACAGACACATTGTGAGATATAAAGTCACAATTACAAGAAACAAAATGGCAGTAACAAGAAAAAGTCACATTGTGAGATTTAAACTCACAATTACGAGAAACAAATATGAAATTACAAGATATAAAGTCACATTGTGAGACGTTTATCACATTTTTTTTCCCCAAAGCAATGCAACGTGTTACACTCAATATCATGTTTTTATGTTGATCTCAGATAAAAACATTTTTAGGCCATACCCTCCTGCCACAGTGGATTGTGCACTTGGTCATGTTTTTTTTTTCTTCAGAATAAATTCCCACAATTTTGCATTACAAAAAACTTTCTTGGGAATTATCTCAAAATAGAAAAAGGGGCTGATTTCTAGGTGTATAAATATGCCGATGTTAGCCACTCGATGTACATCTAGTGCTTAGAAATGCTGCATCTTGCATTACCCTGGGGAAAAAGTGTGTGTTTTGTCATAATAAACTTTTAAAGGGCACCTATTATGCCCCTTTTTTCAAATTGTAATATAAGTCTCAGGTGTCCCTAGAATGTGTCTGTGAAGTTTCAGCTCAAAATACCCCACAGATAATTTATTATATCATTTTGAAAATGCCTATGAAAATGCTGTTTTCTTGCCTGTATCTTTAAATGCAAATGAGCTTCTGCTCCCTGCCGCTACCTTTTCTGGGGCTGTGACTTTACAGCTCGTAAATACTCAAATACTCTGCCAAAAAACATCTGTTTGGTTTTGATTATCATGTATATCACGTTGAAATCATGCGTTTTAAAGCCATATCAGTTTGAACTTCTGATATACGGTTTTCTGAGCGCACACATCCAAAGCACATGCACAGAAAGCAGCCGTCACACAGCATGTGAGTATTAAACTAAGTTCTCTTTCATGTCTTATTGCGCATAAACTGTCAAATACACACAGGTTTATGTTAAAAGCACACATAAGTTACAAAAACACAGTCGGTTATGTCTGTGAAGGTAAACAGTTGGGAAAGAAATCGCATATTTATATTAGATCTGTATATTAAGTAACAACAGCGCCGTGGGTGGAAACGTGCAGATTAAGGGGCGGTGATATTATATGATCCCCTTCCGTCACTAGGGGAGCCAAATCTGAGCAGCTCGTTTTTTCACATACTTGCAGAAAAAGGCTTACTCAACAGCGCCGTGGGTGGAAACGTGCAGATTAAGGGGCGGTGATATTATATGATCCCCTTCCGTCACTAGGGGAGCAAAATCTGAGCAGCTCGTTTTTTCACATACTTGCAGAAAAAGGCTTACCAAAACTAAGTTACTGGGTTGTCCTTTTTCACCTTTTCTGGGTTGGTAGATGCACTGGGGACCCGATTATAGTGCACTTGAACACGGAAGAAGTCAGATTTTCATTATATCAAATACACACAGGTTTATGTTAAAAGCACACATAAGTTACAAAAACACAGTCGGTTATGTCTGTGAACGTAAACAGCTGGGAAAGAAATTGCATGTTTATATTAGATCTGTATATTAAGTAACAGCAGCGCCATGGGTGGAAACGGGGGTGGTGATATTAGAATATGTTCCCCTTCCTACGTCACTAGAGGAGCGAAATCTGAGCAGCTTGTTTTTTCACATGCTTGCAGAAAAAGGCTTACTAAAACAAAGTTACTGGGTTGTCCTTTTTCACCTTTTCTGGGTTGGTAGATGCACTGCGGACCCGATTATAGTGCACTTGAACACGGAAAAAGTCAGATTTTCATTATATGTCCCCTTTAAATATCAAATGCATAGCCAGGTCAGAGTGCTGACTGTGCTAAACTGAACATGGACACTTTCCAAGATGTAGAGCTTGGGGTCTTTTCCAAATCCAAGCACTTTACAAATTTTATACTGCTCCATGGAATGGGAACACTACAGATTAAGCAAAGCAGGGATCCATCAAGATTCGCAAACATATTACACAGGAGAGATAGACTGATGAAACATGTTAAAGGTTGGAAAGACATTTTTCATGCCACTTCGTAACAAAGCCCATCTGTGTTCCTAAAACTTCTCTGCTCTTCCTAAAAGTTGTTTGTTTAGATGTGCTTTTTACCATGAATGGCTGCACTGAATCATTCCCATTGTGTAATGTATGAGAGAGCATATTACATATGGTTTCGCTGCTGTGACACTGACCATGGCGAATACTTGGAAAACATGTGTGGGATTGGGCATCCAGATGGAGTTAGACAAACTTTGATTAATATGAAATGTGACAGATGGTTTAAGAAAAGTGGTTATATTGTTGATCTGAGCCTTCATGACATTGCATTACGGCTGCCTGACCCATCTCCTCACATATCTTCTCGTGTCAAACATAAGGACAACATGGTGACCTAATCACTCTCAGCTGTGAGAGAAATTGAAAAAGATAACTCAATGCCCAAACTGCTTAAGCCTGCACGCTGATATGAAGCAGCTGGACAAAAAGAGGGAGAAGGGAAGGGAGCAAATGAATAAGGACCCACAGCATTATCACTTGTCATGTCCGGAGAACTATTTTCTTTAGCGACACCTCGTGTTTCACCAAACATTTAGTATCATCATGAAGGATGACAAATGCAGAGAGTCATTGATAAGAGGTAACATAATGACATGATGATTATGGTTGCACATGACTAGTCTGCATTAGGTGTTGTTATAACATACTGAATGTGATGTTCTTTCAGTACAGTCTTCATTTCCTTCTGGCATGTTCATATCTTATCATTTTTGCATCCGTGCAAATAAACAAACAAACAAACCACTTCTTAGGGAAATATGGTTACTATTCATTTTAAAGTGTTTTAGAAGTATACTGAATAATATTAATGAACAACATGTGCTTAATATAGGTCTAGGGTTCGGTTTAGGGTTAGCTGCATCTAATTATGTATAATTTACTGTTATTACTATAGTAAATACATGTAAAGTTTAACAAGGACACTGTAAAATAAAGTTTAAAGGAAATATTCCAGGTTTGATACAAGTTCATCTTAATCGACAACATTTGTGGCATAATATCGATTGCCAAAAAAATATATATAGTCTGACTTGTACCTCATTTCCAGGTTACAGTGAGACACTTACAATAG